AAATCCTGACGCTGATAGTGACCTGCAGGCTCTTTGTTGCCTTCAGGTCCCTGCTGGTTTCAGTTTTGGTACAAATGTGTTTAGATTTTAGCAAATTAAACTGGGAAGGGGTGGGGGGGATGGGGGTACAGAGCACCTGATCGATTTGTATTTATTTATTTTAACACTTTACTAAATAAAGCACAACAAACTCTCTTGTCTCCTCAGCTGTGTCTCAAGGAGGGGCTCAAGGCCCATCCCAGCCCTGCCCTGCACCTCCTCACACAGGGGCTGTGCTGGGGAAGAACCACCCTGGCCCCTCCACGTAGGGTTCCTCCAGCTGCTGCGCTCCAGTACATGGAGATCGAAGCCCCCGTTGATTCTAGGAACCCAAACTTCCTGTGCTAAGGGCTGGCTGTGCCACCCCTGCAGGGCCCACAGCAGAGCCAACCACAGGGCTAGCACTAAAAGCCACAAATGCTCTTTCCCATGGCTCCCAGCAGAGAGCAGGCTGAGCAGGACAGGTAAGGTGCTGTCTGGATCTGATCTGTGTTGCTGCTCAGGCTGGTGATAACAGCAAGCTATGGCATTACTAAACAAATGCTGTCTGCTAGGAGACGGCCACATGCAGTCATGCCTTTTGCTGCACTAATAATGAGCAAAGGCCTTCCCAGCCTGTTCCCGAAGCCAACAACTTGCTCCCAGCCTGCTGCCACCCCATCTACCCCTGCAGAGGCTGGGCTTCCTGTTCCAGGCCCAGGAGCCAAGTCCTTATCCCAGGCTGTGCTCCCACCAGCACCGTGAACCCAGAGCGCTTTGTTTAGGTCCCAGTGCCCATCCAGGACTCAGCCACGTGCTGCTGGGGGCACACAGCCATGCTATGAAGCCACAGACCAGCCCACAATTTGGCTGCACCGCCATGCAGGCTGCAGTGTCCACCACCAGCCCACGTCAGGGCTCACCCACTGAGCACTGACACCAAGATTACTTCTACCAGCCTGTTCCCTCGTGCTTGTGCAGGTTCACTGCAGAAAGCATTAATAACCACATCGTTCTAACAAGGATATGAAAAAGAATAAAAAAGCTTTAATTTAAAAGTTAAATTAAAAAGAGAGAATAAGCAAGAGGCGCTTGTGCCCTTCCCAGACAATGCGATTTGTATGGCTCCTCCTGGCCATTCCCACCACGGACGGAAATCTTCACACCTGCACAGCTCTAGCTCTTGCAGACCAGAATAATGCTAAGAGAACAGCATAGGGTGCAGCAGCCCCGGGCCTGGAGCTGCTCCAGTGCCAGCAGCAAAATCATCCAGGTGCAAGAAAGGCTTCAAAACAAAACAAAACAAAACAAAAACAAAACAAAAAACCCATGACACCCTAACCACTGAATTTTTATGAGAAAAGTATAAATAATTTAAATAGCATGAGGAAAGCAACACATCCTCTGTGCTCCAGTGTGTGACAGCTGCAGAGCAGAGCCAGCCACGCTGCTCCCACTGCAGAGACCACAGTGCTCAGCTATGGCCTCCCTGGGGTCAGTCCCATCCCTGATTGTTGGTGGCAGCCCTGGCACTGCCAGGAGTCGGGGAGGCACTGGGGGTCCCTGCCATGAATTCTTTCACAGGAGCACAGACCCCCTATGAAGCTATGCCATCCACCACAATGGCAGAAGGATTGTACCAAGCACCAGACTGCTTTCACTTATAGCTGGGCCATCCCAGGAGAGACTCTGCATCCACGGGGATGAGGAGCCAGCCTTGGTCCAGGGACTCCGCAGCTCCTAGTGATCTCTGGCCTCAGCTCCTAGATCATCAGGACACCTCTTCTGAGGCCTTGCTCCACAAACGATGCAAGAGGATGGTCCCCATAGCCATCTCCCACTCGCCAAGGCTCCAGGGATGTGCAGAGGATTGCAAACTGGGACTGCAGAGAGGAGCAGAGAGGGGAAAAGTGCAGCTCCAGGGCCTCTCGAGGCCCGGCCCCGGGCTGAGGTGAGCTAACAAAAGCTGTGAATTGATATCTGCTAGAACTAGGGATGGGAAGACCAGTTCCCCGGCACAGTGGAAGCTCCCCTGTTAACACAGGAATGATCTGAACAAATCCTGGGCCACACTGCAGCAACTCAACCCACAGGCGCTGCCTGATCTCACAGCTGGCATCCTCCCTCTTATCTACAGACATCCCATTGCGAATCAGATCCCTTGGGCAAGGCTACGAGGCGAGCTGGGGCAGGAGGCCCTGCACCCTCCCTTCTCCACCTGCTACCAGCACCCTGCACCCACTGTCCCCAGGTGTCATAGGTTCCTCTCGGCGGTGAGGTATTTGAGTGCAGCAGCCCCGTATCTCCGCGACAGGTCCTGGTGGAATTCCTCCCGCAGCGTTTGCAGGCAGCCCCGGTACCCAGCATTCAGGCGAAACTTGGAGATGTCGAAGCTGGGAGCGTGGGGCATGTGGATCATGAAGGCATTGGGCAGTACCAGCAGCTCGTACTCCTGGGGACAGAGCGGCAACTGTCACCATCAGCACGGTACCAACACCTCACAGCCCGGCCGTGGCCCCGGCACCCACCTGCGCATCCAGCTCCATGATGTGGGACACCTTGTTCCAGCCGAAGCCCACGAACCTCTGATCGTACTTCGGGCAGTCTCGCCTCACTACAACGTAAGGCTCAAAGTCTGGCTGCCAGGCCACACGGTACGGTACGGTGGCTGTTCGCCACTTGGCATAGTCAGTTGGGGCATGGCCTTTTGGCCACACGTGGTACCTGTGAGGAGAGATGGAAGTGAGACACCAGGAAAAGCGGCCGCACTATGGCCCCAAGGCACAAGGGTATCAGACTGGCTTCTGCTGCGTGTGGCAGCCTTTGGGATGGCAGGGAGCTCCAGGGCTTACCTGAAGGTGTAGAGGGAGCCCATGTCCAGCATGGAGAGCAGTTCTGCTTTGGATTTGGGGAAGGTCAGGCGGTAGTGCAGGGTCTCAAATGCCGGCACAATAAGAGCTGCCTTCCTGTGAGGCAACTCCAGCTGCTGGATGGAGTTCCTACAGAGGTAGAAAGGGTGTGAGGCCTCTGTGGCCATCAGC